TCTCCTATGACGTTAGATAGTACCACCCATTCATCTTATCACCCCTGCAGTCACCTTAGGGATGTGGAGGATCCGAAATACGGAGAAAGGCATCTCCACCCCATACGACGCCTCCCTCCACAACATCCAAGGGCCCACCATCTGGCTCCTGGAGTTCGGGTTAAGTTGGGTCAAGGCTAAACCGTAAGACCTAAAGACGAAACTAAAAAATGGGTGAACGGGTAGCCTAAGCCCCGCTCTAACGAATTGCTTCGCTCAAAGACATGTACCCTGGCCTATGGTAGTAGGCAGGGATGGAAAATTAGCTCGGGGGCTCGAGCTGCCCATGGCTCGGCTCGTAAAAAAGCTCTAGGCTCGGTTTCACTGAGCCTAGGCTTGCGGGCTGGCTCGAAATTTAGAAAAATTAAAGCAGCATGCTACCTTCTTAAAAGGAAAAAAGGAGAAAAAGAATCGAGCAGAAAGCTCGGGTCGAACCTTGATTTTTTGGCTGAGCTTTTGTTCAGCTCGACTGTAGCCAAAAAAAGCCCAACCTAATCGAGATTTTTAACTTGTCAGCCAACTCGGCTCGGGTCGTTGACGCCCCTAGTAGCAGGCTCGCTCATCTAGCTCTGGTACAATTAGACCTACGGTGTCAGGAATCCTATATTCCTCTTGAAGCCTAATCAAGTCGATAAAGTTGGTTTTGATGAGTAATCAGAAGCCCCCCAATGCATTGAAGTGTCTACAAGGCTATCTGGCTATTTTCAGATATTCTACCCACCTAATGCGACCTCCGACACTTTGACCGAACTAGGCAGAATAGGTTCGTCTAGCCTAATCGCCTCTACGTCGCTACCAGCAATCCTAGTTCTCTCCAAAGCCATTTTTTATACAAAATAAAGGTGAAAACACTTGAAATTACTTACAAAAAGGGATTGGAATTGCTTTCAATCATCGAAAAACTTAAAGAACGGTGATGGAAGTCATTGAAAATTGTTGCAATAGACAAAAACATAGTCGGAGATTTCAAAACGATTTGAGAGCAAGAGTAAAAAATCACCAAAAATAAAAACTTTCAAATGAGAAGAGAATGCATTTTATAGGAAGCCTTAAATGATCTCTACCATTGAATTCAATTACAATTGATTTGGCCCGTTGATTGCAATATAAATTTGGATCTTTGAAACCAAACGTTAGATGTGATTAATGCCTAAGATCTGGCGGTGGTGTTCACGAGACTCTAAAGCTTGTCGCCTCGAGTCTCAACAGCCGTTTGCTATGACTAGTAATAGCAACTTTTTTGGGGAAATAGGCGTCATATCCAAATGTTCTTCTTTGGAATCCATGATAGGTTTCAAATCATTGCTTACTTCGTACTGCAATGTGCTTCAGTGAAGAGTAGCTTATCAAAGTTTCCGCCATCTCTCGTGCATCGTCCCCTGTGGGTTAGCACCTCGGTTGAGATGAGCTTAGGAAGAATATCTTATCGAAGCTTCTACCATCTGCCATCCGTCGTCTCCTATGGGTTAACGTCTCGGTTGAGATAAGCTTAGGAAGAATAGCTTATCGAAGCTTTTACCATCTCCCGTGCGTCGTCTCCTGTGGGTTAGCACCTCGATTGATATGAGCTTAGGAAGAATTGCGTATCGAAGCTTCTGCCATCTCCCATGCGTCATCCCTTATCGGTCAGCAACTCAATTGAGATAAGCTTACGTAGAATAGCGTATCAAAGCTCCGGCCATCTCTTGCGCGTCATCCTCTATGAGTCAACCCTCAATAGAAAATAGCTTGAGCCTACATCCACAACGGATCTTAAAAGTCCAAAATGCTATAAATATTCATCCCTGAATTTGGAAAGACCTCTATTACTCCCCCTCACATAGCACCTTAACACGTTTGTTTCAGACGACAATCGAAGCGTATGAAGAGGAGGCACATCCGAAAACGTCATGTCTGAGGAGTAAGTCACCAAAGTGATATTGTTCGAGTTGTTTAAATGTTTTGAGGCATTGCTTCCGAAGCGTGAGGTAACCGAGGCATTATGCTGTGAGGAAGAGGAGAAGCACCTCTCCGCCCTCCACTGCCAGTTTCACAAACAGATTTTTGGTGAAGATTGTCCCTATATTTTTATGAATGATTGATGTGACATCTCTGTCATATGTCAATTCAAAATCAGAAAAATTAATTGTCTGTCCACTTAGGAAGCGACTGATGGACCTCGCACCGTCGGATCACATGTGTGTCGCATCTAACAGTGCCCTTTGCCTATATACCAAGAACTTGGCCAAAAAGAAGGTAAGCATAATATTAGTGATATTCCACAACCAAGTTATCTTAGAACCTGTTTGGAAGTGATTTTGAGAATTAATTTTTTGACCGTTAGGAGAAAAGTGGGGTCTACCCGTGAGAGAAAAATTCAAATATGATGGCTGGAATAATGAAATAACGGTCAAAGAATCAAATTTTTGGGGGAAAAATTACTCCCAAACAGACTCTTATTTTCTCCTCCCCTTGAGTTTGTGCATTCTGCCACATCGTCGATTAACTTGATCGTCGGAGTGTATGTGGCTGCCACCACTACCACTAGTACCAGCCATATACATCTGACTGTTTATTGTTGCACATAGTGAAGAATACATGGAGTAGTTCTCGATTGGCCACGTGGAGTGTCCAATTCATTGAATCAATAGTTAGCACGATACTTTGTTATTGCTTGCCTTCATTTTAAACTTGTTTTTTTATCGTTTCAATACTAACATTTGAAACATAATTCAAACTCATTTTTCATCTCATTTCGACCATTGTGCAGCTCCACCCAATTCATCATTTGTAAAAAAACAATGGATCCCATTTTTCCAGATATGGTATGTAAATTAAAATGAAGACCTTGTTGACATAAGCAAATTCAAATGGACATTTTCTTAAGTGCCAACATTGACAGGTGATTTCTACGTTTCAACTTTGTGCTGAGTTTGCTTTCTCTGTACAATTTTTTCCCTAAAGATTGGATTTATTGTATAGGAAAATGGAGGCGTGGTTATTCACTCGGTGCTATTGTGAATTAAACAGACATGGAAAGTGGAAATCAAGAGAACTAATTCCTTATGTAGAATCAACTTTGAAGTTCTAACATGATTCGTGATAAGAAACCTATAACCCTTAACAATTAAAATGGCAGAAATTGATTTCTCATTTGAAGATCCAATTTAATAGAATTGATTTCTGTTGCACAACACGATTCCTTCTCCAAATCTTGAACTACCACAGCAACCAAAGAGATAATTTCTTTATTCTAGATCTTGATCTACCACAACTGCCTCAATATTATGCCTCTAAGAATAATCTACACGAGAAGGTTAAAAGATAAGAATTCCTACAATAACACAATGAAGTAGATAATCTAGTTCAGAGTCTGAGAATTATATTTGTGCTAGTAAAAATCCATTATCTCTTTCAACCACAATATTGGACAATATATAAATTTAGTAATCCTAATCATATTAGGAATCTTACGTTATCGATATGGATGCTTGTAGACTCAGCATTTGTTGTCCACGCCACTCTTACAAAAAAGGAGGTCAACAATAAGTGTCATAATAAGCAAAGATTAATAACTTTAAGTGCAATTAAAATGAAGTGCAAAAAAATAAAAATTCTAGTGTGAATATAATTAACCCAACCTTTATTCATTATCATATTTATAACCTTAACTTTTTTTTCGTCACACTCTTATTTTTAAGATTTGAATAATCATAAAATCTTATCCTTAATCATGGCTTTCATCCAAAAATATTATTAACATGCTTTAAAATGAGGGTTAAATATTTAAATTACATTTTTGTAGTAATACTTATTTTGTTTATTCAAAAATAAAACGGAAAGATGAGTCTTTTTACTCTATACTAAATTTTTTTGAGAGAAATTATAATCAGGAACAATATTAATTAATTTGAGAATAAAAAAAATATGAAAAATGCTCAATATAGATTATTTAATTGGATTGGACTATTTAATAAAGCAACATATTTTTGGGGCTCTAAGCTTGAATCCGGCCCATTGACTCACTTGACCAATTTTACATTTCCATATATATATATATATATATATATATATATATATATGAGTCAATTCACAACCAAATGTATGTTTATTTTTACCTTAGCCATACCTTCTCTTTCGTTTCTTGCACTCATTTCTCTTTCCTCTGGTCGATGGCTTGATCATTGAAGTGTAAACAGTCGCCAAACTTTTTTCTCGATTGACGATTTTTGCACCCCAACGAGGTGTTCAAATGTGCTGGTGAAATTTGCGTAAAGTTTAAGACATAAATGTGATAATGTATAATGTTATGAATATTTCATATAACTAAAATATAGTCCAGTTATTAAAAATTGAAGTATAAATATATTTTACATTATTATATAGTCACTAATTAATTTAAAGGTGAAGAATGATGAATATGATGTTCAAAATTAAAAATATGAGAGAATAGCGATATTCTTGAAAAATGAAGAAATGTCGTTAATATTGTTAGATAGTGAAGGGTAAGAAATGATTTTAAGGGTATGTTTTATGTTTAAAAATTTAAATTAGATTTTGTGAAAAGTGAATTTTTTAGAGAATGAACAGTTAATAATGTAAGAAAAAATTACGAGTGAAAATGAAAATTTATTTTAATGGAAGAATGTACTCTAACATAGCACAAGGAAGAAACAGACTGAATAATGCTTATAAAAGGTAGGGTGCAAGAAAGGGGAAAAAAGGCACTTTGTTGTAATTGGAAAAGTAAAAGCAATGAAAGCATTTAAATAGAAGCTTTATACGATTAATACTTTTGATAGACCGATTAAATTGATCTATCTATAAAAAGAATAAGGCCCAACACAAACTTTCTAGATCCACCATACCTAAATTCCTTTTTGTTAATTAAAAAAAAAAAAAATTTTTTTAAAATTAACCCCCCCCCCCCCCCCCCCCCCCAAAAAAAAAAAAAAGAATGGGTTGTAAGAAGGGCTAAATAATAATGGAAAATGAAAATATGCCAGCCGGCAAAGTGAAAGCAAAAAGCAAAAGAATTGGTGGACGGTGAGAACATTGCGCGATATTCGAGAATTATCTGTCCATAAAAAATATAATTTGCTGGATCATTTGACTAATTCTTGTAGAGAGGGGGAGTGAGAATCGGAGAAAGTGCGATCGATGACTGAGAAACCTGCCCAGCCTTGTTTCACTTGCAATCGACTCTGCTGTTTTTAACCTGTCTAGCATTTGAGATCTATCATTTCTCCCTGAGCAGATTCTTCTTGAGCTCTTCTTGGTACGTTTCACTTCACACACTCCAGAACATGTTCCCCTTTTGTATATGTATGTTGGTGTAATTGTGTGCATAAGTGTAATTACTTTATGTGCCCTTTTGATAATCTGTGATCGGTTTGTCTTGATCTGACGAATCGATTAAAAAATTATGACGTGAATTGGGATTGTTGTTTTGTTCTTTTATTTCGTTTTTGCGCTCTCCTTTGTCGGGATATTTAGATCGAAGATTTATTCTGACCATTAGAGAAAGATAAGGAAATGAATTAGTAAATGGAAGTATAGACGATACAAGTTTTGGGTTGGATACCTTTTGTCCTCCTTTAGGAAATGAAATTAAACGCCATTGTATATTTTCTTTGTTTTACTAGTTGCTTTCGTTAATCGACTTTCAAGTTATGAATTTTATATGACGAGATTCAAGATCTTCTCACAAATAGCCATTTGGTACTGGTGCAAAGTAGTTAGCATTTTAATTCATAGGTTGTGAAGTGCTATTTTTCTTTTTTATTAAAAATATTATATATTTTTAACTCATAGTTATTAGTAAATAACAAATAAGTACTCATTTTTCTTTTTTATTAAAAATATTATTTATTTTTTAATCAAAGGTATTAGTAAATAACTTTATAGACTCCACTAGATCTGAACTTTTTAAAAAAATTATGATAAAGTGAAATGTGTACATGGTAATGGAGTCGGACTGGATTCACATAACTGACAATCTTTTTAGCACAGGCATTTCAACTAGAATAACGTGTCTGTGTCTGTGTCCAACACATATTGATATCGACACTTCTCGAACGCTCTATCATAAGCATTTTTCTTTTTTAATAAACATATTATATATTTTTAACTAAAGTTATTAGTAAATAACAAATGGTACTTATACTTAAAAGATTTCAACAAAAAAAATTAATATCAAGTATAAAATTATATTTATATTATATAAATGAAGAATTTTAAATAATTTAATCAACGTGTTGACGATGTGTCATGTCGTTACTTTTTTGAAAAATTGTGTGTCAGTGTATCCAACATGCTTCGTGTCGGTGCATCATAGTTGGCGATTGAAACATGGACATAGCCTTTGTTTCTTCCAACTTTTGGCAGTCCCCCATTCTGTGGATTGCTTCGAATGTCAAAACCGGTGGAGGAAAACTAAGTTAATGGTTTACCAACCTTTAGGTATCTTATTTATACAGGAGAAAAGCAAACCCCCTGGCACAAACCTCACTGGAACCATTGATTGCTTAATGTACACATTCACCAAGTTTGAGAGTCAACTAATCATGTTAATTTGAGGATAAAGTCTAATTTCAATTAAAGCAGTGGACTATGCCCTATGAAAGCCTACCCTCGCTTTATCGAAATCCCCCCTTATATCTCTACCTAAACTCCGCCCATTGCTTGAAAATTAAAAAAACTAGTGGCACCAGCACAAAGAGTGCCTGCTTTGAGATGCTTTCCTCATGTAAGTAGGAGTTTCTCCGAGAGGCACACTTTGTTGAGTTGCTTAAATGTCATTTGCTTGAGATTCCTATATTTATTGCTTGTTTGAATAAAATTATGAGTTACTGAAATTATAATGTGATAAGAATGAGTGGTGGATAATTATGTAGTAGCTCTGAGTCCTACAAAATGCGAGGTTGAATTAATGTTTGACTTTGACAATTATTATTTTTATTATTTATTTATTATTATTATTTTTTTTTTTTATGACCGTGGGCGTTCGGGCCAACTTACACGCACCTTGACTAATTCCACGGGGTCTTGAAGTTTATAGTCAGGTACTCACTCACCCTATTGACCTTGATAAGACACGAACTGGTGACCATTAGGGAGCAAACCCAAAGTCTGACCATCGAGCTATCCCTGAGGGTTGACTTTGACAATTAGTTATACAATTAGTTATAAGTAATGTTTCCCAAACATGCACCTTGTTAAGTCTGTAATCTTTATGAGGATAATATTAACCAGTTGAGTGCTGTCAAGATCTTTGCTCTAGCTCATTAATTGTTAATTGATTATCGTACCCACATTAGAATTCATGAAATTTTTAACAGTTATATACAAGCACCAATAGATTAGCTGTAGAATATTATCAAACTCAATATAGAAGAAGATCAGATATGCTTGTATATAACTGTTAAAAATTTCATGAATTCTAATGTGGGTATTTAATAAATGCAATTTTGCTCTATGTGGAAGAATTTAAAATCAATCTAGGCTTGGCTTCAGTGGAACCAATAATGGATACTTTTAGTGTTACCTTTTTGGAGTTAGTCAGTAAGAGGACTGAGCTAAAATTGACGGTGGTGGTGATGGTGTTAAGATTTTCTCTTAAGATATCGTTCGGAAGTTGAAATTCAAATAAAGTTATTTGATTGGAACTTTCTTCGATATTTGAGGTGTAAATGCATGTTTGAACTGATCTGAATAAGTAATTTGATTTATAGTACCATTTTGTATTCGCAGTTTCTTGTTAAGATGTGAAATATAAGATAATCATAATGGTGATGATTGAGAAGGTTTTGCTTAATGCTATTAAGAAATTGAGGTCAAATGCATCTATCATATTGGAATTTTTTCCCCACATTTAAGGTATAAACGCATGTCAAATTTTCTGAATTTGACAATTGAAACTTTGGCATTAACATGTTGCATGGACTAAACTGAGCATCTAATAACAGCATATGTGCCAGATTTTGGACTGGTGTTGACTCAAATAATTTTATCTATGCTTGGATGACACAACACTAGGTTTGTTTTCTTTAAAAATGAATGCTTGATGTTGTACGGAATAGATGGAAATCTTGCCTTGTATTATGAGATGATAAAGGTTAAAGAAATAACCAATTCTAGAAGGTTGATGTAGAGAAGATGCCTTTTATCATAAAAAAACTGTTTTTGAAGGTTTGTGATGAATAGTTAACAGGACTAGAACCATGCAAGGATTATTCTGGTGCTTGTTGACGATAAAAGGGAACTGTTACAGGACTAGACAGTCTGGTTGTGGATAGAAGAGGGCACAACTTTTGAGTAAAATTTCAGAAATATATTACTTGATGCAATTGAGGCCAAAATATGTAATTTTCCCCTGGAGCATAGTCATCATCGTTTTTTTATCTTTTATTAGAATATGTTCGTATCTTTGTTCTGATTGCGACATATGTTCTTGATCTATTGATCTTTCACTAGACAAATATTTAACTAAGCAGGTGTTAAGTTTTTCAGTGATGAATATCACTTGATACACCCTTTGTAGGAGACCTATGGATCCTGCTATACGCTTTTCTGCTAACTCTGGCATGATTGCATTATTTTATTATTTATCTGCATTCATTGTTTATTAATATCTTGATGAGATTTTTTTTCTAGATCCCCAGAGAACTTTGAAAGCTGGTAAACTAAATTAGAATATTTTAAAGCTGTTCCTAATAACCGGCAAAGAAGAAATCCGTTCTGTGATTGAGGCACTTAATATCCAACACATTCTGATTCCTGTCGTTCCCACTCGTAAGTCGTTCTGTAATTGAATTATGCTAATTGAGTTGGAACTGGTTCTCTCTACTAACTCCCTAATTCTTGTCAGGATGCTCTGAGAAATTCTGATGCTCTTTGTCCTTGTGATCCTGTAAATACCCTTCTAAGGAGTAAGGAACAGCCTGATCTTACTATTTGACTTTTTCCTAGATCAGAATTCTGAAAAATGTCTGAAATCAGCATTAACCATGATGAAGTGGATATTGTGATTGGTGCCCTTCAGTTAGATCTTACATCATTCATGGAAGAGTGGAGACCAGTGTTCTCCCTGTTTCAAATAATAATTGTCCAAGATCCCAACCTAAAAGGAAAACTTGAGATTCCTGCAGGATTTAACTATGATCTCTATACCAAGTCTGATATAGATGGTGTTGTGGGATTGTCGTCGAATGCTATTTCTTTTTCTGGCTACTCTTGCCGGTACTTTGGCTACCTTATGTCCCACAAGAAATACATTATTGCCATTGATGATGACTGCGTCCCAGCTAAAGATAGTGCTGGGAATTTTGTTGATGCTGTTGCCCAGCATATCACCAACCTTTCAACCCCAGCTACACCTTTTTTCTTCAATACACTTTATGATCCGTTCTGCAAGGGGACTGATTTTGTTCGTGGCTACCCATTTAGCTTGCGAAGTGGTGTGGATTGTGGTCTGTCATGTGGGCTGTGGTTGAATTTAGCTGACCTTGATGCTCCTACACAGGCCCTGAAGCCAGAGCTAAGGAACACTAGATATGTTGATGCTGTTCTTACAGTACCGTCAAGGACCATGATGCCCGTGAGTGGTATCAACATAGCTTTTAACCGTGAGTTGGTAGGGCCTGCATTACTTCCGGCTTTTAGGCTGGCAAAGGAAGGAACCCTTAGGTGGGAAACTGTGGAAGACATATGGACAGGGATGTGTGTTAAGGTTGTCTGTGATCATCTGAGGCTCGGTGTGAAGAGTGGGCTTCCATATGTGTGGCGAAAGGAAAGAGGCAATGCCATTGATAGTCTAAAGAAAGAATGGGAAGGAGTCAAGTTGATGGAGGACGTCGTTCCTTTCTTTCAATCATTGAGGTTGTCTGCATCAGCAGCTACTGCTGAGGATTGTGTCTCCGAGATTGCTGCAGTGGTGAAGGAAAAACTGGCACCGACAAATCCTGTTTTTGCTCGTGCTGCAGAAAATATGCTCGAGTGGGTCAAGCTTTGGAAGCGAGTACGAACTCAGTAGAAGAACTCTGTTTCTTGAAAGGTGGCAATAATTGTTTTTCTTTATTCTCGTCTTTCCTCCCCACGATGTCTTTAATCATCAACTAATTCGATATTGACAATTTTTCTTCTCTTCATTTCTCTTGTGTTTTCCTAGACCAGAATCTTGCAAGGGGGTTGAAAAAATAAATGTTAATGTTGCGTTTAATCAAGGGAAAAAAGGGGGGCACAATGTGTGCAAATCTGATGCATACAAAAAAACTCCAAATTCTGATTCTAAGGCGAAGTATTTGGAAATGTAGACTAAGGAGAAACTATACATAAATATATATTATAAAAATAATCTAATCATTATTGGTGCTCATCTTATACTATATGTGTTCTGAGCAAATTTAAGCCATAGTGTTGGATATTTTGCATACCTTCTCGATTGTTCTTTGTTTTGCAGCATACATTTGATTGTAAATTTGTTATCCCCCTTTTCAAAGTTCATGCAAATTTTTTGCCCGTCTGTTTCCAATTTTTTTGCTTAATTTAAAGTCAATTTCGGACCGTTGCAAATGTGGCAGCTGTGATTTTTGACTTTTTATCTCACAATGAGACCCATATGCCGAAAAAGGGGTAAAAAGATGCATTATTGTCTTCAAATAATAGGAAACAGAGAGACGGGCTTTGTTTAAGAATGATGAAAATGTATAGTCAAATGCAGCAGAATCCATGGGTAGGTAAAAGAGAAGTTGGGGAACTGAAACATCTTAATAGTGAGAGGAAAATTAAAAAAAAAGCGATTCCTATAATCGTAACGAGTGAAATGAAAACTGCAGTAGAATCCATGGGTGGGTAAAAGAGAACTTGGAGAACTGAAACATCTTAGTAGTGAGAAAAAAAGAAAGTAAAAGCTATTCCTCTAATAGCAACGAGTGAAATAGAAATAGCTTAAATCTTGAAAACGAGATTGTGAAAAAGCAATACAAGCATTGTGTTGCTAAATGAAAAGTTTTTCAAAGTAACCAACTTCCCTAAATATAAAAGGGAATGAACATGTGATGAAAAGTCCACTCAAACGTCTTTGAATTCAAACTCATTCAGTTCAATTTGTGAAAAAAGATATGATTCATATAACATATAAAAGAATCAAATTCCATCTAAAATTAGACTCCCTAATCTTTAAATAAGTAAATAAAAATCCTAGCTATTCCCTAATTTTTGGGAAGATTAAATCCAGGGAAACAAACTTAGGATAGTATCTCGAAAATAGATAATTAAGTGAACTTCTAATGCTCCGGCCAAGTTGGTTCATCAATAAAAAAAAAAAAAAAAAACCAAGATTGGAACAAAAGATTCAAACAAATGGTTTCGAAAATCCCTCAGCAAACAAGTCCACAAATTGATCCATTTTTTGCAAATCGTTTAATTTTAAGGGAACAATACATATTCAAGGTACTTGAAAGATACAATTTCAAAATTAAAAAAATATGTATTAAAATTTCAAAAATTAGGTCATTGTTAAATTTTATTATTAAAAAAATAATTAAATTTTTTCATCAGTTAAATATATTAAGATCACAATATTATACAATCTATGATCACATCTATATACTAGTCACAATCACAAATTACTAATTTTATAATTCACAACTTATTTATCGGTCACAAATTATCAAATTAATTGATTATATATTATTTCTTAATCACAAATTACAAATTTGATAGATCAATTTATTTCATAATCACAAACTATCAAATTAATTAATCACAACTCAACAAATTATGAGTCATGATTACAAGTTTAGTTGTAATCACACTTTTTAGGTCACATTATTTTTTGTTAGTAAATTATATATTATATCGATTATATATTAGTTATTGATCACAATCATCCAAATAGTTGATTACAGACACTCATCGTCCTACCTCATTGACACCAACCGAACACCATGCTGCCACTATTGCTACAACACCACCGCCTGCACCACCATCAATTATGACCACCACCATCTCACCACCGCCATTAGCACCACCACCTCACCATACCTGCGAGCACCACCATTGCTTGCATCACCACCACCATCACTAATAAAAACCACCAAAAACTCTCGACGGTGGTGGTCGAATAAAAAGGAGGGGAGGGAGAGAGAGAGAGGGAGTAGGGTTTGGGAGTGAAATGGGATGGGATGGAGGAAGGGTGATTATGTAGATTAATTTAATTTTATAATATAATAATATTAAAAATTTGAATTATTACCTAATTTCTTTGAATAAAAAACTGTTAAACTTGATTTTTGAATTGAAAAGGTAAAAACTATGTGTGAGTGTAATTTTCACTAATTAATATTGTTACACCCCTGATCAAACCACTTCGGAACAACAGTCAAACCACTTTCCGAAGTGACAGGTGTCCATCCGAAGTGGTTCTGTTACACCCCTGATCAAACCACTTCGAAACAACATTCACACCACTCTCCGAAGTGACAGTTGTCCATCCGAAGTGGTTCCGAAGTAATGTCCACTCCTGACGACCTCAACATGACACACTACAAGGTGAAGAACAGATCCACTGAAGTAACCGAAGTGTCCCTCAACTCCGAAGCGTTGGGCACTCCGAGGTACACCTTAATAGATCTCTCCGCTGCAATTGTCAGAAAGATATCTGTCAGGATCCCCTCTATCTCCAAGGATCAATTGATGTGACGTCTCCATAGATCTAGTTAATGTGACATATCGACTTTATGTCAACTCAACTCAGAAGAACTAATTGTCCGCCCACTCTAGACGCAGCTGATTGACGCTTATAAGCGGACACCTCACACTGTCAGATATATACACGTGTCCCACATCCAACGTTTCTCTACGTCTATAAATACCCAATGTTTGGTAAGAGACAAATGTAATGAAACTCACACAATTTAGCTCTCCATTCTAAGAAATATATATTCTCCTCCCCCTCACTTGCACAACTTGAGCACTGTGTTGAACAACGCTGACTTGACCGTCGGAGTGTATGCGGCTGCCACCACCATCGCTGGTTCCGGCCATGTGCTTCTGACCACATTGTTGTGCGCGGGGAGAATTACATGGAGTAGCTATCCGTTAGCCACGTCGAGGGTCCAATTTTCGAGGTTAACAGATTTGGCATCGTCTGTGGAAAACTTCTGGTCCAAAAGTTCCACATTGTTCACCGGAAAAGTCGCCGACAAACCATCGACTTACCCTGAAAAGGGCACGCTCTTGAAAAAGAACAAAGTCAACATATAATCAAAATTCTTAACACCCTCGAAAAGGTAGATAAGATGAGTTATGGCAATGAAGATGCAAATTTTGAAGGGTACAGGGATGCCTTTGAAGAAGAGGTCATCAGGACCAATGTCATGCATCGGAGACCCCATCACCGGGGCAACAGGACAGCAGCGCTCACTGAAGAAATGGCTCAAATAGGTACTGGAATAAGGGACATTTCAGCTCAGAATGTGGCGATACGTGAATTCTTCATGGAGGCACGAGGTCATCAGGGCTTCCAGATGCCTCAAGGATCTTACTCAGCTCAAGAAATTCCTACGTCTCATGGTTGAGGCCATTCAAGCTAGCGCTGGGAACACCTTCTTGAAAGAAAAGTGGGTGTGGATGTCACATCCTACGCACAGGAGAGCCAACCAGCAGAACCACCACTAGGAGAGAACTTTCCACTAGAATACGAACTGCAAAGGTCTGTTAGTGTCTTTGACAGAATATGACAGAACCCTAGTAATATGGTCCACTCCGTGCAGAGATCAGTTCGACAAGAGCAGGAACAAGTACCTCCTCCACCTAGAAATAGGCAGGAGAGGAGAAACCTAGCGAATTGGAGTAGTCGAGAAGAGGTACCTCTACCTCCCCAAAATGCATCAGAGGAGGAAGGCTCTGAAGAGCCATGTCGCTCCTACGAAATTGATGACGATGATGACAACCTCTCTATCTCCAAAGAAATCCGAAGCTTCCCAATGCCTGCAAACTTCATGTCCCTAAAATCCTAAAGTATGAAGGAAAGGGGGACCCACAGAAATACATGACTAAGTACATGACGCAAATGAGTCTCAGAGGGTCCTCATCGGCACTAAAATGTAGGGCCTTCTATCTAACCCTCATTGGAGCTGCTAAAGTGTGGTACAACAGGTTACCACCCTTAAGCATCAGAAGCTGGTTAGACTTAAAGAAGACATTTCTGAATCAATACCTATCACGAAGGGAAGGAGAGGCGAAGCTCCTGACAAGACACTGAAAAGCTATCTCACCAGATTCACTGATGAAATCACATATTGCGAGCAAGTCACTGACAGAGAGGCCCTTTCAGTTTTGAAAGGTGGCATCAACATGAACACTTTGTTTTGGAGGATGTATGTAGCAAGAATCCCACTACCTATGACGAACTGGTAGAAATGATGAGGATGGAGATTGTCAATGAAGAGATGATTGACCACCGAAATTGTGCAGCATAAGGACTCTCTCCACCTCAGCGACAGGTAGGTCGAGGATCGATAGCACACCTAGTCACCCAGCAACGGACCCAAGCAGGTCACACATTAGCCCCCCACATCCGAGCAGGCAGTGACTTCAGCCACTCTAAATGCAGTGCCAGTGCTAGCATATGAAAATGCTCGTGTTGAAGCAGGACCATCCGGAGGAGCAAACAACAATCGAAAGAAGAAGAAGCGATCAGGGCAAGGTTTTGCACCTTTCACCAACTTTATGGACACGACACCAGCGAATGTAGGGATGTTCCTCAATCCTCGAATCGAAGTAACCAACAGAGGAAAGAATACCCCCGCAGGTCGACCTTCCCAAATAGAGGAGAGAGGCGATATAGAGACCAATCACCTCGGATGAGAGAATCCAGGGACAGAAGAGAGTCCTGGCATAGGGCTCAAGCCCCATCCGGAGGCCAAGTTATCAGGGAAATTGATACAATCATTAGAGGACCTCACATCGGAGGCAACACCAAGAACGCCCAGAGGAACTACACAAGGGAAGCGAAGGATCCACTAATGATTACTTAATTGTCAATCAGACCCAAGAGGCCAACATGATGGCTCCGATCACATTTTCTCAAGAAGATGCGCAGGGAGTTCACCACCCCCCATTGTGATGCGTTAGTGGTAAGAGCCGTAAGGGCTCGAAACGGACTCAAACGTATGCTTGTCGACAATGGTAGCTCGATAAATATACTGTTCGGATCCACCTTCAATGAAATGCAAATTGAAAATGGGTTGATCCCCATGATTGACCCGCTATTTGGATTTACTGGCGACAGCATCATCCCACGAGGGCGAATTACTCTACCTATTGAGATGGGGTCAGCCCCCTAGTGGCCCACCACTTCATGGAGT